TCTCTCTCTCTCTCTCTGTCTCTCTCTCTGTCTCTCTCTCTCTCTCTCTCTGTCTCTCTCTCTCTCTCTCTCTCTCTCTCTGTCTCTCTGAGGATGTCGTGACGATGTCTCTCCTCCAGCTGCAGGATTCACATCAGCTCATAGTACATGTCATAGAGTAGAATAGAATTACACCAGTCATTATGAACTAAACCTTTCTCCCCCTCCTCCTCTCCCCCTCTCAGAGACTTCCTCCCTCGTGGTTCAGGTATCGTCACCCGGCGCCCCCTGGTGCTGCAGCTCATCACCTGTTCCACAGGTGAGACATGGCGTCACACTGCAGACACAGAGTGTGTGTTTAGTTCTTTGATCTGACTCAGGTGTGTGTGTGTGTGTGTGTGTGTGTGGTCAGAGTACGCTGAGTTCCTGCACTGCAAAGGGAAGAAGTTCACAGACTTTGATGAAGTTCGTCAGGAGATCGAGGCCGAGACGGATCGAGTGACTGGACACAACAAGGGGATCAGTCCAGTCCCCATCAACCTGAGAGTCTACTCCCCCAATGGTAACACACTAACACACACACACACTAACACACACACACACTGACACACACCAGCTCATTGGAATAAACCAATGAATCAACATGGCGTCTCGGCTCAAACTACAAACTGTGAACAGGATGTTCAGTGTTCTGGTTCATGTCCTGTGTGTGTGTGTGTGTGTGTGTGTGTGTGTGTGTGTGTGTGTGTGTGTGTGTGTGTGTGTGTGTGTGTGTATGTGTGTGTGCGCTCAGTGTTGAACCTGACTCTGGTGGATCTTCCTGGGATGACTAAGGTCCCGGTGGGGGACCAGCCGGCCGACATCGAGCACCAGATCAGAGAAATGTTGATGCAGTTTGTCACCAAGGACAACTGCCTCCTATTGGCTGTTTCTCCCGCCAACTCTGACCTCGCCAACTCTGATGCTCTGAAGATCGCCAAGGAAGTTGACCCGCAAGGTTAGAGTCCACCGCCACACCTCCACACCTCCTATATCTCTCTCCTCAGGTTCAAAGCATGTTGTGTATCTCAGTCTGGGTGTCTTGCTTCTCTGTTGGAGGCCTGTGTTCACGGTCTGATGCTTGTTATGTAGTTGGTGGGTTTACATAAAGCGTTTTAAATGTGTGTGTGTACAGGTCTGAGGACCATCGGTGTGATCACCAAACTGGATCTGATGGATGAAGGAACTGATGCCAGGGACATCCTGGAGAACAAGCTGCTGCCGCTCCGCAGAGGTACAGAGACATGACATCACAGAGCCCAGAGTCTCCACAGGGCGTGACTGATGTACAGACACTTCCATAAACGCCTCACATGCAGGCTGTCATTAGAGGCTACAATTTACCAATGTTCCCTCAACGCCTCACATGCAGGCTGTCAGGCCAGATTTGAAGGTCCCCAGGTTAATGATAAGAGACAAACTAGAATATGAGGACAGGACCCAGGGGGGACCCCTGAGGACCTCCACAGGCCAGAGGAAGAAACCAGTCCACATCTGTAGTAGATCTCCCAACCTCTTAACCACACCTCCAGGTGTAGAAACCTATGTCAGGTAACCATAGCAACTGATGTGAACTGTGTCAGGTTACATCGGGGTGGTGAATCGCAGTCAGAAGGACATCGACGGGAAGAAGGACATCAATGCAGCACTGCAGGCCGAGAGGAAGTTCTTCCTGTCTCACCCGGCATACCGACACCTGGCCGACCGCATGGGAACCGCCTTCCTGCAGAAAATCCTCAACCAGGTAACCGCACAAGCACAGGACTCACCTTCATTTTAGATGTCTAGAACTCCTTTTCTGAAGTGAGATGTTCAGAGGGATCAGTCTCTGTCTGTGAGGTCAGCACAGAGCTAAGGTTCTCATAGGGTCTCAGATCATCCTGAGAATGTTACCTGAACGTCCTGAGAACGTCAGGGTCAGAACATCCACAGAAGGTTCTCTAATAGTCAGAACATTTACAGGAAGTTCTCTAAAGGTCAGAACATCCACAGACTGTTTATCAGACTAGTGTGAACACGTGAGTCTGGATCTGAACTAAACTCAGTCAGGTTCTTCACACTGATACTCTGTTCTCTGCTTCCTCTGTAACTATAGTAACAGAACATTTTTCTGTCACCCCTAGCAACTTACCAACCACATCCGGGACACGTTGCCAGGGTTACGCAGCAAATTGCAGAGCCAACTGCTGTCCATTGAGAAGGAGGTGGAGGAGTACAAGAACTTCAGACCTGACGACCCAAGCCGCAAGACCAAGGCTCTGCTGCAGTAAATACACACACTAATACACACTAATACACACTAATACACACACTAATACACACTAATACACACTAATACACACTAATACACACTAATACACACACTAATACACACTAATACACACTAATACACACACTAATACACACTAATACACACTAATACACACACTAATACACACTAATACACACTAATACACACACTAATACACACTAATACACACTAATACACACACTAATACACACTAATACACACTAATACACACACTAATACACACTAATACACACTAATACACACACTAATACACACTAATACACACTAATACACACACTAATACACACTAATACACACTAATACACACACTAATACACACTAATACACACTAATACACACACTAATACACACTAATACACACTAATACACACACTAATACACACTAATACACACTAATACACACACTAATACACACTAATACACACTAATACACACACTAATACACACTAATACACACTAATACACACACTAATACACACTAATACACACTAATACACACACTAATACACACTAATACACACTAATACACACACTAATACACACTAATACACACTAATACACACACTAATACACACTAATACACACTAATACACACACTAATACACACTAATACACACTAATACACACACTAATACACACTAATACACACTAATACACACACTAATACACACTAATACACACTAATACACACACTAATACACACTAATACACACTAATACACACACTAATACACACTAATACACACTAATACACACACTAATACACACTAATACACACTAATACACACACTAATACACACTAATACACACTAATACACACACTAATACACACTAATACACACTAATACACACACTAATACACACTAATACACACTAATACACACACTAATACACACTAATACACACTAATACACACACTAATACACACTAATACACACTAATACACACACTAATACACACTAATACACACTAATACACACACTAATACACACTAATACACACTAATACACACACTAATACACACTAATACACACTAATACACACACTAATACACACTAATACACACTAATACACACACTAATACACACTAATACACACTAATACACACACTAATACACACACTAATACACACACTAATACACACTAATATACACACTAATACACACTAATACACACACTAATACACACTAATACACACTAATACACACACTAATACACACTAATACACACACTAATACACACTAATACACACTAATACACACACTAATACACACTAATACACACACTAATACACACTAATACACACTAATACACACACTAATACACACTAATACACACACTAATACACACTAAAATACACACTAATACACACACTAATACACACTAATACACACTAATACACACACTAACACACACTAATACACACACTAATACACACTAATACACACACTAATACACACTAATACACACACTAATACACACTAATACACACACTAATACACACACTAATACACACTAATACACACACTAATACACACATGACAAGCCAACATATGACAAAGAATAACTCGACGAATTCACAATTCATACAACACCACCTCAGTGATGAGTTAAAAAAACGTGTGTGTGTGTGTGTGTGTGTGTGTGTGTGTGCGCCTTCAGTGTTGAACCTGACTCTGTGGATCTTCTTGGGACATGACAGTAAGGTACCCGGTGGGGGACCAGCCGGCCGACATCGAGCACCAGATCAGAAGAAATGTTGATGCAAGTTTGTCACCAAGGACAACTGCCTCCTATTGGCTGTTTCTCCGCCAACTCTGACCTCGCAACTCTGATGCTCTGAAGATCGCCAAGGAAGTTGACCCGCAAGGTTAGAGTCCACCGCCACACCTCCACACCTCCTATATCTCTCTCCTCAGGTTCAAAGCATGTTGTGTATCTCAGTTGGGTGTCTTGCTTCTCTGTTGGAGGCCTGTGTTCACGGTCTGATGCTTGTTATGTAGTTGGTGGGTTTACATAACGTTTTAAATGTGTGTGTGTACAGGTCTGAGGACCATCGGGTGTGATCACCAAACTGGATCTGATGGATGAAGGAACTGATGCCAGGGACATCCTGGAGAACAAGCTGCTGCCGCTCCGCAGAGGTACAGAGACATGACAATCACAGAGCCCAGAGTCTCCACAGGGCGTGACTGATGTACAGACACTTCCATAAACGCCTCACATGCAGGCTGTCATTAGAGGCTTACAATTTACCAATGTTCCCTCAACGCCTCACATGCAGGCTGTCAGGCCAGATTTGAAGGTCCCCAGGTTAATGATAGAGACAAAACTAGAATATGAGGACAGGACCCAGGGGGGACCCCTGAGGACCTCCACAATGTGTGTGTGTGTGTGTATTGGTGTGTGTGTATTGGTGTGTGTGTGTATGTGTGTGTGTATTGGTGTGTGTGTGTGTGTGTGCGTGTGTGTGTGTATGTGTGTGTGTATTGGTGTGTGTGTGTGTGCGTGTGCGTGTGTGTGTGTGTGTCAGGATGGTGCAGCAGTTTGCAGTGGACTTTGAGAAGCGGATCGAAGGATCTGGAGATCAGGTCGACACCTACGAGCTGTCGGGAGGAGCCAAGATCAACCGGATCTTCCACGAACGCTTCCCATTCGATCTGGTCAAGGTAGCACACACACACACACACTCTGTCTCTCTCTCTAACATTGTGACGGTAGCCACATAAATGTGTGTGTGTGTGTGTGTGTGTGTGTGTGTGTGTGTGTGCGTGTGCGTGTGCGTGTGTGCGTGCGTGCGTGCGTGCGTGCGTGCGTGCGTGCGTGTGTGTGCGCAGTTGGAGGGTGATGAGAAGACCCTTCGTAAAGAGATCAGCTACGCCATCAAGAACATCCATGGAATCAGGTGAGTCTAAAGTCCTAGTGTGTTCAGGTTTGTTCCAGTGTGTTCAGGTGTGTGTTCAGGTGTGTTCGGGTGTGTGTTGCAGTATGTGTGTCTCACAATACCTGGTTGGAATCTGACTCACCTGTCTTCTGTGTCCAGGACGGGTCTGTTTACACCTGACATGGCGTTTGAGACGATCGTGAAGCGTCAGATCGCTCAGATCAAAGAGCCGTGTCAGAAATGTGTCGACATGGTGATCAGTGAGCTGGTGAACACCGTCAGGCAGTGTACACAAAAGGTACTACTACTAGTAGTACTACTACTGCTACTGCTTTGGTTTCACATAACATTTCCTGTTGTTTTCAATCTTTGACCTCTGACCTCTATGTTGTTCACAGTTGGCTCAATATCCGATGCTCAGAGAGGAGATGGAGAGAATTGTCACTCAGCACATCAGAGACCGAGAGAGTCGCACCAAAAACCAGGTCTGTCACATGATCACTGCTTCACCAGCTGGGTACACAGTCTGATTCATCCCTTCATTATTCATCCTTTCATTGTTCATCCTTCATATTCATCCTCTCATTATTCATCCCTCATATTCATCCTTTCATTGTTCATCCTTCATATTCATCCTTCGTATTCATCCTCTCATTATTCATCCTTCATATTCATCCTTTCATTATTCATCCTTCATATTCATCCTTCATATTCATCCTTTCATTGTTCATCCTTCATATTCATCCTTCGTATTCATCCTCTCATTATTCATCATTCATATTCATCCTTTCATTGTTCATCCTTCATATTCATCCTTCATATTCATCCTGTCATCATTCATCCTTCATATTCATCCTTTCATTGTTCATCCTTCATATTCATCCTCTCATTATTCATCCTTTCATTATTCATCCTTCATATTCATCCTTCCATTACTCATCCTTTGTATTCATCTTTCGTATTCATCCTTCCATTACTCATCCTTTGTATTCATCTTTCGTATTCATCCTTCCATTACTCATCCTTTGTATTCATCTTTCGTATTCATCCTTCCATTACTCATCCTTTGTATTCATCTTTCATGAAGTGAGCTGTGAGCCTGGCCGTAGATCCTCACCTGTCTGTCTGTCTCTACCTGTCTGTCTCTTCCTGTCTGTCTCTACCCGTCTGTCTCTACCTGTCTGTCTGTCTCTTCCTGTCTGTCTCTTTCTGTCTGTCTCTCTCTGTCTGTCTCTTCCTGTCTGTCTCTTTCTGTCTGTCTCTCTCTGTCTGTCTCTTCCTGTCTGTCTCTTTCTGTCTGTCTCTCTCTGTCTGTCTCTTCCTGTCTGTCTCTTTCTGTCTGTCTCTCTCTGTCTGTCTCTTCCTGTCTGTCTCTTTCTGTCTGTCTCTCTCTGTCTGTCTCTTCCTGTCTGTCTCTTTCTGTCTGTCTCTCTCTGTCTGTCTCTTCCTGTCTGTCTCTTTCTGTCTGTCTCTCTCTGTCTGTCTCTTCCTGTCTGTCTCTTTCTGTCTGTCTCTCTCTGTCTGTCTCTTCCTGTCTGTCTCTTTCTGTCTGTCTCTCTCTGTCTGTCTCTTCCTGTCTGTCTCTTTCTGTCTGTCTCTCTCTGTCTGTCTCTTCCTGTCTGTCTCTTTCTGTCTGTCTCTCTCTGTCTGTCTCTTCCTGTCTGTCTCTTTCTGTCTGTCTCTCTCTGTCTGTCTCTTCCTGTCTGTCTCTTTCTGTCTGTCTCTCTCTGTCTGTCTCTTCCTGTCTGTCTCTTTCTGTCTGTCTCTCTCTGTCTGTCTCTTCCTGTCTGTCTCTTTCTGTCTGTCTCTCTCTGTCTGTCTCTTCCTGTCTGTCTCTTTCTGTCTGTCTCTCTCTGTCTGTCTCTTCCTGTCTGTCTCTTTCTGTCTGTCTCTCTCTGTCTGTCTCTTCCTGTCTGTCTCTTTCTGTCTGTCTCTCTCTGTCTGTCTCTTCCTGTCTGTCTCTTTCTGTCTGTCTCTCTCTGTCTGTCTCTTCCTGTCTGTCTCTTTCTGTCTGTCTCTCTCTGTCTGTCTCTTCCTGTCTGTCTCTTTCTGTCTGTCTCTCTCTGTCTGTCTCTTCCTGTCTGTCTCTTTCTGTCTGTCTCTCTCTGTCTGTCTCTTCCTGTCTGTCTCTTTCTGTCTGTCTCTCTCTGTCTGTCTCTTCCTGTCTGTCTCTTTCTGTCTGTCTCTCTCTGTCTGTCTCTTCCTGTCTGTCTCTTTCTGTCTGTCTCTCTCTGTCTGTCTCTTCCTGTCTGTCTCTTTCTGTCTGTCTCTCTCTGTCTGTCTCTTCCTGTCTGTCTCTTTCTGTCTGTCTCTCTCTGTCTGTCTCTTCCTGTCTGTCTCTTTCTGTCTGTCTCTCTCTGTCTGTCTCTTCCTGTCTGTCTCTTTCTGTCTGTCTCTCTCTGTCTGTCTCTTCCTGTCTGTCTCTTTCTGTCTGTCTCTCTCTGTCTGTCTCTTCCTGTCTGTCTCTTTCTGTCTGTCTCTCTCTGTCTGTCTCTTCCTGTCTGTCTCTTTCTGTCTGTCTCTCTCTGTCTGTCTCTTCCTGTCTGTCTCTTTCTGTCTGTCTCTCTCTGTCTGTCTCTTCCTGTCTGTCTCTTTCTGTCTGTCTCTCTCTGTCTGTCTCTTCCTGTCTGTCTCTTTCTGTCTGTCTCTCTCTGTCTGTCTCTTCCTGTCTGTCTCTTTCTGTCTGTCTCTCTCTGTCTGTCTCTTCCTGTCTGTCTCTTTCTGTCTGTCTCTCTCTGTCTGTCTCTTCCTGTCTGTCTCTTTCTGTCTGTCTCTCTCTGTCTGTCTCTTCCTGTCTGTCTCTTTCTGTCTGTCTCTCTCTGTCTGTCTCTTCCTGTCTGTCTCTTTCTGTCTGTCTCTCTCTGTCTGTCTCTTCCTGTCTGTCTCTTTCTGTCTGTCTCTCTCTGTCTGTCTCTTCCTGTCTGTCTCTTTCTGTCTGTCTCTCTCTGTCTGTCTCTTCCTGTCTGTCTCTTTCTGTCTGTCTCTCTCTGTCTGTCTCTTCCTGTCTGTCTCTTTCTGTCTGTCTCTCTCTGTCTGTCTCTTCCTGTCTGTCTCTTTCTGTCTGTCTCTCTCTGTCTGTCTCTTCCTGTCTGTCTCTTTCTGTCTGTCTCTCTCTGTCTGTCTCTTCCTGTCTGTCTCTTTCTGTCTGTCTCTCTCTGTCTGTCTCTTCCTGTCTGTCTCTTTCTGTCTGTCTCTCTCTGTCTGTCTCTTCCTGTCTGTCTCTTTCTGTCTGTCTCTCTCTGTCTGTCTCTTCCTGTCTGTCTCTTTCTGTCTGTCTCTCTCTGTCTGTCTCTTCCTGTCTGTCTCTCCCTGTCTGTCTGTCTCTCCCTGTCTGTCTCTTCCTGTCTGTCTGTCTCTACCTGTCTGTCTCTACCCCTCCCCCTCAGGTGATGCTGTTGATTGACATTGAGCTGGCCTACATGAACACTAACCATGAAGACTTCATCGGCTTCGCAAAGTAAGAAAAAAAACACAAATATATTCTAACTCATCTGATAAATAAACATACAGATCATCATCATCATCATCATCATCATCATCATCATCATCATCATTAGAGGAGGAGGAGGAGGAATTGACACTTTAACTAACTGATAATCACATCTAATGAACAGAACAGGAAGTAAATACCTACAGAATATAAGTGTGGATAGATGTAGATAGAGAGAAGAAGAAAGTAAACACATCTGTCTGGACCCACATCTGTGTTTGACAGTATCAGATAATAAACACTGTCCTCATGTGTGTGTGCGTGTGTGTGTGCGTGCGTGTGTGCGTGTGTGTGTGTGTGTGTGTGTCAGCGCTCAGCAGAAGAGCAGTCAGATGCACAAGAAGAAAGCAGCAGGAAACCAGGTGAGTCTCTACAGGTAACCTGGGGGAGGAGGTGTCCTTATTCACTTATCTCTCTTCTCACTCTGTCTTCATCCTCCTCCCTGCCTTCGTTGCCACGGCAACCAGGACGAGATCATGGTGAGTGGTTCTGTGTGTGAGTGTGTGTGTTCTCAGGAAGTCATGTCACTAATTCTGCTGCTTGATCTCTGATCAGTGAAACCTGAGAACTGATCAGTTATCACCATGGTAACATCAGCTGATTCTCTGATAAACAATGATGAGTGTCTGAATGTTTTATTAATATTATTTATTAATTAGTGATTTGACTTCCTGTTGACTTTTGACTTTGTGAATATGTTGCTAACATTGAATAAAGTTTGGTTTAAAAAACACCTGGATTTACCTGCTTCTTGCTACAGTTCAGAAGATAATCAATCATGAACTAATCAATTAGTGATAATGATCAGTGAAGAGGGAAACATCTCAGTATGTGTGTTGTCTCACTGTGTCTGTGTCGATGACATCACGGCTCACCTGGTGTGTGCAGGTGATCCGTAAAGGTTGGCTCACCATCAACAACATCGGCATCATGAAGGGCGGAGCTAAAGAGTACTGGTTTGTCCTGACTGCAGAGACGCTGTCCTGGTACAAAGATGACGAGGTAACACACACACACACACACACACACACACACACACACACAGCCCCCTGTTTTCTGCTAATGTTAGCGTTAGCTCCTTGCATGCTTGTTTGTTAACCGTTCTTCCTCTATCTTGCCATTGTTTATGCTTCCGGGCATCCCCTGGTAACCATGGCAACCCCATGTTTAATGTCCCAATGCTATGAACTTTGGGTAATTCCCTCAGGCAAAGTCTGCACAAATGCGGACTTTCAGAAAGTGTGAATAAAGAACTGAAAATGTCTTTAGAGACTCATGTCCTCGATGGTTTGGGGACAGAACTAAGACCTCACGGACTGACCAGGAACAAACCTCCAAGTCTGTGAGTCTGTGAGTCTGTGAGGGGGGGCACTGGGATTGGGCCTACCTGTTGTCCTGACACAGAGTCACAGCAGACGATCCTCTGTTCCCTAGCATCACTGTGACCTTTGACCCTGATCAGTCCTCTTTAATGTGGCTGTGTCTCCCCCTTCAGGAGAAGGAGAAGAAGTACATGCTTCCTGTGGACAACCTGAAACTGAAAGACATTGAGAAAAGCTTCATGTCCAGCAAACACATCTTCGCTCTGTTCAACACTGAGCACAGGTCTGTGACACCCTGATTAATATTATTGATATTGATCAATTGATATTGATATTACCTGATCAGCAGTGCAGGTGATGGAGTCTGGTGTCTGTTGTAGGAATGTGTATAAGGACTACCGTCAGCTGGAGCTGGCCAGTGAGTCTCAGGAGGAGGTGGACAGCTGGAAGGCTTCTTTCCTACGAGCCGGAGTGTACCCTGAACGCAGCGTGGTACAGCTCTGTATTATTACTAACTACATTTAACATTATTAGTCATTATTACATCATATTTACTTCATGTTTCATCATGATATGATGATGTCACATGTTCAGTGGGTCTGTGCTGATGTTGTGCTCTGTCCCTCCTGCAGGACAAAGAGAAGGTGAGTCCCTCTGTCTTCTTACCTGCTTACAGCTGTTAGCATACAGCTACAGGTCCAGACAGGTATCAGGCGGTGCTAATCAGCAGCATGTTGTCTCAGGTGGAGGTGGAGGAGTCGAGCGGCGATGGGCAGATCCACAGTCTGGACCCACAGCTGGAGCGACAGGTGGAGATCGTCAGGAACCTGGTGGATTCCTACTTGTCCATCATCCACCGCACCGTCAGAGACCTGATCCCCAAGACCATCATGCACCTGATGGTCAACAACGTACGCCACACACAGACACACACACACACACACACAAACTGATAAACACTGATACACACACAGTCATGTGACCTCTCTGCTCCTCAGACGAAGGAGTTCATCCATGCCGACCTCCTCGCTCAGCTCTACTCCTGTGGAGACCAGAACTCCCTGATGGAGGAGTCCCAGGAACAGGTGAGACTCTGAGACGCAGACAGACAGACAGACGGACAGGCAGACAGACAGACAGAAAGATAGGAGAACAGACAGAGAGACAGACGGACAAGTTGAATCTGGCTTCACTGATCAGGCACTGATTAGTATTGTATTAGTTTTCTGGGCCGTTATTTACGCCGACACAGACTGAGGCTGAGTCCAGCTGTGATGCCGTGACCTTGTGGAAGCACCACGTTAAAGCCAGACTGAGGCAGGGAGGGGGCAGCAGCAGGGATGTGGAGGCTTTCTGGAGAGGGGGGGTGTCAGGAGGCTTTATGTGAAGTGACTGATCACAATGAACTCAGGTTTGCTGCTTGTCTTCGCTGAGAGTGACTGTCTGTTTGTTTGTTTGTTTGTTTGTTTGTGAAGATAAATAAAGTATTTTTAAAAATCTCTCTATCTCTCTCTTTCTTTCTCTCCCTATCTCTCTTTGTCTCTCGCCCAGGCTCAGCACCGTGATGAGATGTTGAGGATGTACCACGCTCTGCGCGAAGGCCTCAACATCATCGGTGACATCAGCACCTCCACCATCACGACAGCGATGCCTCCACCTGTCGACGACTCCTGGCTGCAGGTGACGGGGATGCCGTCGGGACGCAGGTAACCTAGCAACAGGTCAGCTATTCCACGGGTACAGTGCAGGTGTTCAACCTCACTGAGGTGGTCTGTTGTCTCTCTCCAGGTCTCCCATGTCCAGTCCGACCCCCCAGCGTCGGGCCCCTCCTGGACCCCCTCGTCCAGGCGGTCGTGCAGCCCCAGGGCCCCCCTCTCGTCCCGCAGTGTCACCTGACCCTGGACCCCCTCCCTCTGTCCCCTCCCGGCCCAACAGAGCACCCCCACCTGGAGTCCCCAGGTAACCACTCACCCAGATTTCAGTCTGATTATTTTATTTGTAAAATGTGAAATTTCCCACACTCTCACGTGATCTGAATGCAGCATGAATGTGGTTCAAGGTGTTTTCAGGTGTTCAGGTCAGAGTGGTGAAGATGTCCAGTGTGATTGTAACGCACACACAGAGACATCTTACAAAATAATTTCCTGTTTTAAATCAGCAATTATGAGTCAAAATAAACTTTATTTGTCCATTTGATTCTGACAGCAACACTGTGTCTGTAACAGTGTTTTATTATGAAAGAACCATGTTGTTTTATTTTGAAAGAACAACGTTGTTTTATTTTGAAAGGACCAAGTTTTTATTTTGAAAGAACCAAGTTGTTTTTATTTTGAAAGAACCATGTTGTTTTTATTATGAAAAAACCAAGTTGTTTTTATTTTGAAAGAACCAAGTTGATGAAGAGAAGAAGAAGAGGAAGTGTTTTTGTTTCTTCTTCGTTGGTGTCATAGACAGAACAGCAGCGATCCACAAACAACTTGCACAGACATGAAGAAGAAAGACCAGTCCGTCTTCTTCTCCGCTCTCTGCCCATTCTTCATCCTCCTTGTCTGTCCACCTGTCTCTCTGTCTCTCTGTCTACTTATCTGTCTGTCTGACCTGTCTTTCTCTCTGTCTATCTGTCTGTCTACTTGTCTGTCTGTCTCTGTTTGTGTGATCCTGTTTTTTTCTTTAAAGTTATTTTTTGGGCAGGACAGTAGAGAGACAGGACAGTAGAGAGACAGGACAGCAGAGAGACAGGTGATGGGGAGGCAGAGGGGGGGGGGTGACACGCAGGAAAGGGCCGTCCGAAGCGGGAGTCGAGCAGGGGGCCGACTGCAGCGTAGCCTCTATATATGGGGCGCCTGCTCAACCCACTGAGCTACGTGACGCCCCGATCCTGTTCTAATAGTACCTTATAAATCTAAACAGGAATCACTCAGGTGTGTCAGTGTCAGAGCAGGTAGCCGCCCCCCCCCC